CAGGGCGGCCGCGCTGGCAGGCCCGGGCTGGCCGTGTCAGAGCAGCGCCCTCCTGTCGCTTCCCAGTAGCCGCCTATTGCTTTCTGTTCTTCAGCGAAGAGCCGCCGACTTGCTCCAAGCCACTACTGCATCGGGAACAGGGCCTCGTGAGGGAGGCCACCCCCTCCCCATGGGGTGCCCGCCGTGGGGACTGTGGGGCATAGTCGCCCCTCCACGCCGGGCCGGGGAGTCCAGCAGAGCCCGCTGGGAGGGCAGGAGTTGCTGCGCGGCTTTAGAAGTCGCCGCGGAGCAGTGATTGCTGCAGCGAGGAGGGAGGTCAGCAGAGCTGACCTGGCTGCTTAGCTGCTCGCGGGCGAGCACAAAATGTCCATCTGCATCCTCGCGTTCGGCTTGCTGCAGACCGAAAATCTGATATCGTCATCTGATCACTGTTTTGGGCCAATTTTCTGAGCAATCCTGCCGTGAGGCGCATGACTGACACTCCTGTAGGTTTGCAGGCTAAGTCAAATGCTTACCCAGGTGCCCAGTCTTGAGACCTGACATAGAACTTTATTTCTCCAATGTCACAGAAGACACGTGTGGGTTACCTCTCTCGAAGAAACTTCATTGCCAGACTAACCTTAGGATTCTTGTAGCAGCAGATAAAGACATTGCTGTTGGTATTGTGGTTTCAAGCAGCAGCCTAAGGGCCCGCCACTCTCCTGGCTTTGTTTCCGAGGGCCTATGAGCCTAAATGGGGGCAAGAAGCCACTGCAGTGCGGTTGGTTGCCCGCCCTGGCTGGAGCCTGGTGTGCAGGCACAGCGGGACCAGCACGGTGCCTCGGGGTGAGCCTGGGGCTGCCCCGCTCCGGCAGCGCCGGCCTGCCGCCTGCAGTGACCAGCAATGCCCGTTCATGGTTCATGTTGAATTTAGTTGCAGCAGACGGTGCATACCACTGAAGGCTTTGTCCCTCAAGGCTGGGATAAACGCTTTATGCACTGTGAGTGCAAACTTACCAGTCCCCTGTAACCTGCTATTATACAAAGCTATATAACAATCTATACCACTCAGGATTTACGTTAGTTCTTTGCACGTAGGCTGCTGAACATGACGTTCCCAGGAAGAGATAAGATGGAAGAAAATATTCTAAGAAAAAGCATTTTGTTATAGTGATAAATGTACCAAAATAAATGTGTAGTGAGATGAGTATACAAGTTTATGTACAGTTCATGAAACAGCTTGAAAAACCACTTTCTTTTTTTAAGATGATTTTAGTCAGCACATGATTTATACAGTAAATTACTGTAAAATAGGAGTGAATAATTATGGGCAGATATGAAGGCGATGGTGCCTTCCTAAATACACTTTTGAAAAGTTAAGAAATGACAATTGGTATAAAACTTACTTGCTAAGTAATTGTGGAGAAGTAGTAAACATAACATAGATTTTTCTGTATCGCAATAATTGCAAAAAACATGTCTTTAAAAAAAAATCTTCAGTTCATGCTTTGACCATCACGGGGCCAGTGTTAAGAGATGGAATATCTGACTTGCCTTGGAATTGCTTACAGGGCACTTGAGTTTCTTACTAGTTTATTGATGATGACATAATATGTAAATCTTTGAAAGCGTCTTCTGCTTGTCAAAACATCCTAGGTGATCTAAAAGAGGGTGTCTTACATGTGAAATTCTGGTGAAACCGCAGGAATTTTTTTAGGGGTTGGGACTTCTTAGCTCATAAAGGTAATGGGCACCTGTTCTGAACTAGAAGAAAGATTTTAGCAGATTACTAAAATGAATTAAACAATACTGCATAGTACATGAGCTAGTAGAGAATAACCAGACTTCTGAGGAACTGTAAAAAAAGGCAGAACAAAGTTATTTGATTTATTGCCCAGAAAATAAAAGGAAGGTAATTTTGTGATACATCACCTCTATATTTTTTGGGTTTGAATGATATATGTTTACTTCTTTATAAAAAAATGTTATTAAATATTATTAAAATTTTAATAATTATTAATAAAATTTTATTATATTATCGAATTATTATTAAAAATAATAGTTTGACTAGTAGTTGTGAACACTTAGAAGATGCTTATTTGCAATACTTAGCAATGATACACGGAAAGTAAAAATCATGTACATAAATTATTCTACTGCTTTATAAAATGAAGAGGACATATAATCTGTAAATGTAATCAGCTTTAGAACAAATATTCAAAGACTTGTCAAGATATTTTCTAAGCATTCTTAGAAGATCTGCAAAGAAAGTAATTCTGAAGTCCTGCATTTTTTAAAAAGGTCTGTTATTATTAATATATTGCTGATACAATGTAGCTGGGCTTTGGGTGGATGGCTCTATTGCATTCAGTTTTACAACTTCCAAAAAAACTGAATTTCCACTTACAATCCAGACTTGTTTCACGTAGAAGTTAAATACAATTCTGTAGGACCAAGGTCTGCTTAATTTACTAGTGCAACTGGAATTTTTGCTTCTACTTGATGAAGACATCAGTAGTTATTTTCACAAATAAAAAGGTGGCATTGAGGTCCCAGAATTTTGAAGTATATCAGAATTGAATTAAGTGGGATTTCAAAACAAATTTGCATTTTACCCAAAAGGATGCTGTTTTCAAATTATTTGGAATATATTCTATGAGAAAATCTGTTGGCTTTCATTCACTTAATGGAATAGCTCTTGCGTAGTGTCACTACTCTTAAAAAGTTCTGCCATATGACAGTGGACAAAAGACAGGGCACCATCTCCCAAACTGCTTGCCCCAAGACATTCTGCTGTATTGCCACAGAGGCTCAAACAATAAAATCCACCAAAGCTGCCTTTCATCTTGGGGGAGTACTGGCTAGTTTGTACAGAAGGCCTGCAATGGCTCAGTGTTTCTTTTGCACCCTTTTCTGCCTAGAAAGTTGAAAATAATGATAATGAATTAGTATAACTGGAGGAACCTGTCAGAGGATTGAAAAAAGCAATGCAGTATCCCTAATGATCTGGAATAGTTAATTAAGTTCTCTTATAAATGAGTTCCAAAAATAACTTACTTTCAGTAAGTTATTCTGAGAAACAGTCATTTTAGCATACCTGAGCTGCAGTGCCTCTTAGCAAAGGGCCAATTATCTGGTGATTGGCAGTTAAAGGTGAACTAATGAAGTTCTTAATTAAAAGATTTCCTATTATAATCACCAGTAAGTAACAGAATACTGCATATATAAAGCAGATGTAACGTTAGAAGAATATTTTCATTTTGAAACAAAGATTTTGAAAATCGTTTCCACCTTTGCTTACCAGGTCCAGAGCAGGAATGTTAAGAGTTTTCACGGGTATAGCTGGCAGTATGCCACTATTGGCCTTTATTAGGCTGTCCTGCTCTGACTCTCTAACAGTTAGAGGTATTTTCCTCATTTAATGGGTGGCAGAATTTTTTGCTCTTGATACCCAAAGCTCTCTATATAATACAGAAAAATGGTTTGAGATTTTATAGGAGAATATGTCGGACTTTTAACTAAGAAACTGGTCTGCAGAGTTCCTTTAGCTGCCTGTCATTGACAGCTTCCCTGAATTTTCACTTACTTCACAGTAAGCAAGCAGAATATTTTCAATTTTTCTGTGAGATAAACTAGAATTATATTTTGAGAAAAAAAATCTGGTTTGTCAGCATGAGATGCATTGACATACTACTAAAATCTGAATAAAAGAAACTTTTCAGGTGACGTTTCTCCCCATTCAGATGTTCAAGGACTCCAGGTCCTCCTGTCTACATTTCTACAGCTCGACATGCAAAGAGTACTGCTCTGAATGCCACCTAACCACACTAACAGTTCATGTTGCCCTAGATAAAACAACCTGTTAAGATTATCTTGAGCACCTTGTCACACTGATCATCTCTTTTTAGAGCAAAATAGGCATACATTGACTTAAAGTTGATCTGCAGCCATTCACACAGACATGGCCCTGGTGATCAGCACTGTATGTGAAGAATTACTTATTTGGCCTATGGTCTCCTTGCTCTTACATGCTCCATATAAACACTACTAAATATATATACAGCTAATTCTGTAGTTCTTAGTTCTGGTAAGACAAGGCTTGTCATTTTCATAGGTGATTTGAATTCTTTCTTCATGACAGAAACAGAATTTAGCCTAAGGAGGCATTATATAGGTTCTTGACTAATAGGTAATTGTCCTTATATGATGTCAGCTTTTCTGAACTTTTGATGAACTTCATTTACCAATCTACCATTCTTCAGAGAGCCAAATGTATAACATTAACCGTATAAGGCCCTGCCTCTATCAAAATGACCAGTGTTTCCATCGGACAGTAGTGCAAAGTAAATTAATATTCACTGGCAGATGAATGGGTTTTTCACTTGACTAGGTGAATTTTTATTCAAAAATTTTTACTATGTTAGTAAAAGCACTAACATTAATTACCACCAAGAGAAACTGTTGAGTGTGACTGGCAAAATCATTAATTTACCTTTTTTCTGTTCAGCGTAATCCATGGGATTTAAATGTGTTTTTCTCCATGTGAAGTCTTTAAGTACTTTCAAGACAAAAAAGATGCCTGACCACCTCCAGGTCGCCAGAAAGCCTGTAGTAATAAAGGAGTTTCTGTTCTACATGTATCTATTTTGATTGCAATTAAAAATTTAGGTGGGGATGTTATATTTACAGATTTAAAGCATTTTATATTCTCATTTTTTCTCCCTTATTAAAAAATGGGTATTTTAGAAATAAGTATTTAATTTTTCTGTGGAAATTTTAAATACAAAACAAATTTGCATGCTTATCTAATGTTATATTGGAAAAATGTAAATCAGAAATGAATTTACTATAAAGAAGTACATGTACAAGGTTCGGAACCAAGTCCCTGTTATCTAACATGAGATGTTTCTTGTGAAGCTGTATTAACTGCCAATGAAGACTGAAATTTTTTGAGTGTTTCTGCACGTTAGAGATTATTAACCATTCTAGAGAGGAAGAACAAGACTAGGCTCAATAATCCTTAAAATATGTTCATCATCCCACAAATGTGAATCTAAAACTATAGGCTTTAATTTATTGGGAGTTGGCTGCAAAACACCCAGAAAAAAATGTGGCCATGGATAATAATCCATGAGAACAGAGAGAAATTAGCGATCTAGTTAATGAGGTTAAGCTCTACGATATCTTTTTCGTCACCATGAGATAAACCACTGGGATCTTGTAGGCAGAAATAACTGGGATATTTTTACAGAGACACAAATTAAGAGAAACGGCTTTCAATGAAAAGTCAGAAAATTGAACAATTGCAATGAAATTCTAAAAAAGGAACTATTGTCTCTTATTGCATTGGCATATAATTTGATATCGTTCCTCACTTACTAAATGGTTCTGCAGTTGATCTTTGATTAAAATATTTGAGTAGGTTAAATCTGGTGAAGTTTCAGAGGAATAAGCAAACAGCAAGTTTTTTGGCCCATTTGTTTCATTGCAAAAATCTTCCTGTAACATAAAATATTTATAATACAGCTGTAAGTAATAAAAAGGACTATAATCTTTTCATTCCACTGTTCCTATTTGTTCAATTTTGTCAGTAAAAATAACATTAATACCTTCAACAATCAAAGCAGATTTTAATGTGTCACATTAATACTCTTCTTCTCACAGTTAGATTTTCAAGGGAGAATTAGTCTAGTAAGTATGGAGCTGTTTTGACCTAATTAGCAAAGTAGTGAGCTTATTTTTGAGTGATACAGAGAAAGCATTTCATTGCTGAAAAGAAGCAGCAAATCAGTTTTACTTTCCAATGTCCCATTGAACTGTATGACATCATGTGTAGTATAAACCACTTGACATAATCTGCCTCTGATTTTGAGTCCTGAAGGAAGGGTGGCTGTGACAGTGCCCTTTGAAATAACATTAAAGCTTCAGCTCCCATGTCAACATCGTGCTCTAATCAGTGCAGTCTTTTTTGTCGCAGGGTCTTCCACCTTATAATTGACCCTGACATATGCTATTCACTCTACCCCTTGGCTTTGGACATATAATTCCTGTCATGGTCAATTATTAGGTGATAGAGCCTGCAACCACAGGGACTGTTGCTTAAAATCATCCTACACAGTAAGCCCTGAAGTGACCAAATTCACATCTAACTGGAGGGGAAGAGGGGATCTAGTCTTTGATAAAACTAATATTCTTTTCACTTCTGTATAGAAAAACGTCAATTTTCATCATCCTATAAGTTATTGAGACGAATGGTGACAGTGCTATTTCTGAAACAGGTTAAGGAAAAGTACAAAAGCCCTTACCAAACTCAACACACTCTGAAATGAGGAAATTGTCTGTATGAGCATACAGTATGCATAAAAATTAGATTACACTACATTTGAAAGGCAGATGAGAATTTAAGAGTGACAAGTGGGCAAGTGCTAAAAATAAGGGCATGTTACTTCCTTTCCAACACTGCTTTGTCTGTATGCTTTCTTTGATGTTGTTTAAGCTTTGAATTAAAGAAATACTTTTCAAGAGTCTGAAAGGTACTTCTGATTACTGTATTGATAAGAATTGGTTTTGAACAAAAAGATCTCTTCTGGTTTGTCCATTGGTTCTATAGTGCCTGAGAAGTTGCACAATGACAAAAACCAGGACACCTACTCTCTGGTCTTCATATAAGCATTAGGATTTTCAAACCCAAACAGTTTTGTAGTCATTGTATTTTTGCAGTAATGTTAAAAAAAACATTACAACTTCAGGAATATGAGCTGAGAAGAGCAAAAGTTTGCCATCTGCAAACATTGAAAGGCAGTTTTGTGAACTACAGGTTCACTTCACACATTCTCTGTCCATAGTCAACTATGTCACTGTCCCAGAGGACTCTCCCTGGTTTTTGCTATGTGAACATTAATTTGGATTTGCTAGGTGCTATTGCCTGTTTATTTGGGTTTGGGTTTTTGGTTGGTGGGCTTGTGGATATTTTATTTTTTTTTAATTTGAAGGGAATTTTGATAATCTATAGTCTTTTCAAGTCACTTTTTTTTTTTTTTCTACAGGAATCTTCCACTGGTTTGTTCCACTGCTGACAATTTACTTAATTCTCTTGTATGTAAGAACACAGCTCAGAAATAATCTGTAAAGGACCTATGCATAACTGCTGAGTTTTACAGGTAATACAAGATACCAAGATATGGTATTCCGAAAGATGTGATGTGGTGATATCTTTATTGCATCTCTTAGCTTGAATAGACAAAGCTCTAATTAACATTCATACAATTATCTAAGTCTTTAAAATCCCATCTGTCTTAATGATGTATACATAGCATAGCAAGCCAAATAAATACCAAGCACATACAATGCAAAAGCCTTTAATTTAAACTATAGCACTGCTTACTGAAGCTCTTGTACATATTCTGTGTTTCAATTGTATGGTTTTCATAAGACTTGAAAACCTTCCTCCTGAAGTACAGTTCTGCATATATCTGAGAGCTGTTAGTGCAGCAACTGCTTTTAGTGTGTGCAATATGCAGACAAGTAAACTTTGGAAGTGACTGATTTACCTACATACGAGTTACCTGGAGTGTAACCCGGCTCAGGTGTTTGCAAGACACCTTGACTGAACATACAAATGGATGCAAATACCTTCAGAATTAAAAAACAAAATAGAAGTGCTGCTTCTAACATGCATTCTTTTATCTACCCTGCACGTATCACGTGATGTTCTAAACATTATTTCATAGAAGAGTTAATTCAGCTTTCAGCAGTGTGCAGTCTGTGAAGCAAGGAGAATAACTCCTGGCTGCTTTATGGTTTAAAGCATGATTGAATATACTAACAGGGCTCCATGAAGTACTCATTTTAATATACATAATGTATTTTTAAAATATTTCATCTCTATACAGGTCTCATCCTCTCAGGAAGTAGAGCATCTCTATTGCACTTAAGAAGCCGAGGCAATAGAGCCCAAAAATACTGAGACGGCACCAGTGATCTGAATCTTGAAATTTTATTCTCTGGTCAGTAACTTGTTGATCGTTGCTCAATCATTCCTGCTACTTCAGTTGCTCTTTGTTCCAGTTTCTCTATAGGTAAAGTGACATAGCTATACCTTACAGAGTATTTTGAGAATTATGGGAGTATAAAACTGAGTAAATTACAAAACATCATTGTAGTAAGTATTTTTAAAAGAGTCTTTTCATAAACCTTTTAACTCGGATGCTCTAAAAATAATTTTTATCATTTAGATTATGGCAATTAAGGGAAATACTTTTTGTGTAATGAATGAGATAATTTATAGTTACATAAATTTATAAGATTAGCTTATTTTCAATGTTTATATGGAGGTTCTTCTGGGAAAGTATTTAGGGACATCACAAGCAGTATTTAAATCTCACCACGGCAACTGATTTTTCTATGCTCTATCAAATAGCATATTTGCAAAACTGCCAGATGGGGAGAGAAACTGCAGTGAGAAAATAATGGTGAGGTTTGTAGTACAGGAAAAAAGGATCAGACATTAGATACATGATTTTAACAGCATGAGGAACTTTAAACATTTAACAAACTTCTTAAATAGAAGCTTTTCATTGAGCTGTCTTCTGCAAGGATAGCAAAAGGAGAAGGTAAAAGAAAATCATACTGCTAAAGCTGTCACAAATCCTAAGCAAACACAATTAATAAGGGGTATAAAAATGGTAAATATTTGAGTGATAAATCTTGTGGTAGTATAAGAGGCAGAAGGTTACTATAAGCTTTGCATTAAAGATTTCTAATAAGGTATATCCAGTCTCTCCTCCTTCCATTATGGATATGATTGGTAAAAAAAAGCTTTGAAAAATTTGGTTCTCCCAGGCTCTTATGTATACTACAGCATTAAAAGCAAACATTTAAAGATAGAAAACTTGTGAAACCTCAGTGCATTTTTTAACCCATTTCCAGGCAACATTAGATCAACAGCAGAAATAATTGCTGTCAGTTTGTACTTTTTGACCAATAATTCACTGTATTTTCTGCAAGAAACTTGAGTGATGCAAATGACCTTATTTTTACAGCATGCTTTTATTAAATAGTTTATTATTTTGGCAGACTAATAAAGATTTTGGTATTTGCTTTTATTTGCAATAATATTACCACGACATAAAAAAGGATTTTATGTTCTTTTTGAGGAACAAGGAGGATAAAAGTGTTGATGGATAGTGCAACTAAGGCATCAGCAATGAGCTGGAAATGAGACACATAAATATGAAAGCAGAGCTAAGAAAATAGAACTGCACCCTTGGCCTCTCTTAAAAGAACATGCACATGCCATGGTTCATTCATACAGTTACAGAAACTCCTTTTGTTTTCAGTGAGTCAGTGAAAATATGCAAAGACTAAAATATTACCAAGATTCTCAGTTGTTTGGCATATTTCTGTAGTTAATGTAGTTGTGAAATGTTTCTAAACATGTAGAGAAATTACTGATGATGAAGATTTTTTAGAATATTTTCTTTGTATTTTCTTTGAAGTATAAATTTGTCCTGTTTTCTAGCTATGTCTTAGACAAAGGTGGTGAAGCAATATCAGTTTTCCCCTTTTTTGTCCTTCAAACAGACCTAATTCTTTAAAGATCAAAGAGCTGAGACCCCATAGGCAGACCAGACAATCACACCAAGGTTTTAAAAACAAAATTATCAGTCCTGTAATTAAAATAAGAAGCTTAGATAGCATGTAATAGAATTAATCTTATTTTATATTGGATTGGTAGTTTGGTTTCAGATTGAAAAAATTGTGACCATGGTATTCATTCTGCAATAATCTGAGCTCCTTGACAATGGGTGGTGTTAGATGCAAGGGGTATTCAGCAGTTAGAAATTTATTGACTCAAACAAATAACTGGATATGCCTTAGAAATAATGATGCTTTCTTGATTGACGGTACTTAAGATTTGAATTTTGCTTATAGCCACCCCTCAAAAAGACAGTCAAAGCAGAAAAATATGAACAGAACTACCACATGAAAAAAAATCTAAACAGGCAAACAAAACTTTCCCTCTCTGGAAATTTGTTTGTTCCATTTGCCTTTTCTAAACGGCAGCCAGTAAATAGGAATCATGAAGTATGAGTTTCTTAGAAGAATAAATCTAGCAATTAATTATATGTCAAGGCTTAAGAATCAAAAAACTGCTTATGCCCATTGCCAGTCATTCACTCCCTGTCAGTAGTAGTTCACATCTTTCCTGGGATGGCATCCAACCACAGTGGCATCTAAAATATAGCAGGCTATATTGTTACAGTTGGAGGTGAAATTGAAAGTTGCACCAAACAGAAGTGACAAATTCACATTGCTCAGTGTTGCCTAGCAATAAGAGATGAGTTTATTATGAACACTTGACTCTACATCCATCGCAAGGAGGCTTTGTATTCACACCAAAATGCCACTAGTCTTACAGGCAAAAGGGGCAAAAATAGGGTGGGCAGAAGGAGGGAACAGTCGCAGTAGTTGTATGTTCGGTATTTCAAGATTTCTCTTCGGGGAGCGGCTCAGGAAGGAGAAGGCAGAGCCTGCCTCCAGCTGAACTCTTTGAGACTGCCCAGGTTGCTTGTAACGGCCCTTAATCGTCCTTTTGAATGCCCTTAGTAGTGCTGTTTCGTTAGTGATGGCTTGTAGTTCAGACACTGCAAATGAAATCTTACTGATTGTTCCCAAGGACTGCTCAGTAGTTGTTTTCATTGTGCAGAGCCATTTGCTTCGGCTCTATTTTCATTTCTTTTCTTTTGCTTTTTTTTTAAAGGAAAAGGACAAGTCATCAGGGAGGTTTTCCCTCCTCAGACATCTTGCTGTTTTCTTTTTTGACCACTGTTTATATGGGAGAACATTTATTTCTATCTTGGACATTAGACCATGTCTCTCAAAGCATTAATTACCTAACTATTCACATAAATGTGTGTTTCTTTTAAAAAAACATTTAGGTATTTTTGAAGACCTTACTGGATACCCACCCACATATTTAGGCACATAATCAATTTTAAAAATCAACGCAATAGTTTCTATTAACCCCCCCTCCAATAACTGATCTGTTTCTGTGTTTTTATGCCATCTGCATTTTTGACAACTGAATATTTTTGACAGCATGGTCCATTGTGCCCAAGTTCACATCATTTTTTTTTTCTCTCTTTTTTTTAAAACATCATATGACTACATATGTAATAGGAAAATGGGTTATATCACACATTTTGCTTTACAGATTTGGGTTCACAGTCGATTTTTTGAACTGACAAAAATTGTAGAAGAAGTATTTCTATTATAAGAGTGCATTTATTTTATAAACGTAATAGATTCATGAAATGCTATGTAACTACATTGAAATTACAAAACAGTTGTGATTTTAGGAAGAATTTGAGAGTATAATTTTTATATTTTGTGTGCAAAATGCAGTTATTTTCTCAAATTGTGACTTAGGCGGCAAGCTTCGAAGGTACAAAACTGAGGTACTTACATTTTGCAAATGTTTTTGTAAAAACCTTTAGTAACTTTGGTCCTTTCTTTATTTCAGATTCAACGTGTTACAAACAAACATATTCCACCTGTTACAACAATCTGGCATATTACTTCCTTGATACGTGATGATACAATACCTCTCAGGTTTGCTGAGTAGCAAAGAGAAATGTAAGCAAATGAAAAGGTTTTCCACTTTCACAGTTTTTTTCTGCTTGGGGTTCTGTTTGTCTGAGAACCGTATGAATAGAAGCCATATTTTATAGTATTTCTTTAACCTCTGCCATCTGGTGTAGGTTAGTTTTTCCACTGCCAACATATCCTAGAGGCCCTAGTACCAAAATGTTTAATTTCTAAGTAAACATTTGGACTTTATAAATCCAGTTTAAAAAAATAGAGCATTATTTTTAAACTTTATACTACATTTGCCACTACTGATGACATTAATAAACACGCAGGCAGGTATATGGGTTTAAAGACTTCTGGCCGTGACTTTTCTGTAGCCGACCTCCAGAGATACCAGGTCACCTGACAACTTTAATCACCGAGACTTGCTCAGTTATCAGGAAGGGACTTGAATATTCCCTGCTGACCTAAAGCCTGAAGTTGTGTCAAGGGATTTGCACCACCACAACCAAAACTTTCCAAATCAAGTATGATTTCAGGAAAATAATACTCATACCCATGCCAAAGGTAGAGCTTTAACTTTTCAATTTTTTTTAATTTAAACCAAAGTTGTTTCACTGCAACAGGGGAGGATTGCTGCTACAAAAGAATTTAGGCAAGTAACTAATCACTTAAGAAAACCAGAGAATGTAATAACCATATCTCTAGCAACTTCCTTTTTTCTTCTGAGGAAGAAAAAAGCACAAAAAATCATGTGTCATAATTCTAATACCAAGAGGATAAAGTCCTTTCTAAACCTACAAAAGTATAGTGTTTTGCTTTGTAGTAGGCAGAAAATTAATCATATTTCTGTTTGAAAAAATACAGTGCTGTTGATTGTCCCAAGCTGATTTTCAGTCAGATTGAAAAATTGTAAAGTACTTGCTTGTGCTGAGCATGGGCAGGCAGACTGATTTCATCTTAATCAGTATTCTTCAGAGGTAGACCAAAGTAAAAGACAGTCACCAGGTAAAAACACATGGATGATACAAGTGCACAGCTTATAGAGGAGAACATTTAAAGCTGTGTATAGGCAGGTTCTGAAGGGTTAAGAAAAGATAAATAACTAATATCTTGTTACTTAATTTTGATTTAGGGAAAGTTCTGAAAAAATCCTTAGGAATTTCCACTTCTTTACATGCCCACTGATTAAATTTTTGTGTGCATGTCTATTTTTCCCTAAATTCGAAAATACTAGGGATAGCTTGGTTTGCTACCTTCTCCTGATGCACCTCTGAATCCTGAGGAGTATTCAGAAACATGTTTTTGGTGTGAAATGAATTTTTAATGAAAATTCAGGAAAGGTCTTTACTTAGTGTTTATTGAGCTTCAAATGAAACAAGTCTTAAAAATAAAGAACAGTAAATTAATTAACAAGTGGCTCTTTTTTTGACCACTGAGCTGTTGTGCAAAAATTATGCCCATTTAAATTAATTAATTTAGAATTTGATTAGTTTAATCAGTGCAATTTGGTAATGAAGATTCACGTATTTGTTGAATTTAAATGATAATTGTCCTGAGGATAATTCTTTTTGCTGAACAGTATGGATGCCAAGAGATGAGGTATCACCTTTCAGCCAGTCTGGGATGTGAAATTCTGTGTTACTTTGCAAGACCACTAACTGCATTTATTTTATTATGCTGAGGTATAAATAGCAGCATCTGGGGAGTGAACATCCTCTCTCTGCCATAGGGACAGTGACTTCTGCCTGGATGGACAACTGGTTAAATTGCCTCATCAGTATGAATCATCAGAACAGATAAATCAGTGCCCACACTGTGATCTCTGTAGTCATCAGCAAAACTTGTTTGGTTTAATTTAGTAATTTTCTAATTCTAGCTTGCTTTGAGACCATTTAAATTTTTTCATGGTGCTTCTTAAACCTTCCTGTGTTGGAATGGCAGCTTAGACATGCACTGAAAGATTTACCTCAGTATTTCTTTGTAGCCACTGATTAGCCCTGTGAACCACTGCTCACATTTGTGTTGTGCCTGGACCTACCCTGTCCCTTCAGCACCTCTTACCGATAAACTCACTCTCTTCACTTTCGATTCTCAGTGAACTCTACCCTGGATGTTTTGTGCTTGGCTAGGCATTTTAAGAGTGGATTTAGCCCTAAGAAACCAAACTGTATTATCTTCTTTCTTCTGCCACAGTCTTCCCTGTAAACCTTTGGTCAATGTAAGTGAATTTTCAAAAGAACCAAAGATCACAATATTCATGCTGGTTTTGTGAACACAAACACCTGTGTGAGAAGGAAAATAAAGTCAGAGCTCCAGCAAAGAAAAAACTAGAGTTGGTTGTTGCACGTTTGGCCATTCAGTAAACATGCAGCACAGCCTGCCATAACACTGTTGCTGTTTTTCATGTCAGTAGTAAAAATATATAGGAAGAATCTGGGAGTAATTTTCATTAAATTATATATTTTGTCACTTCTATCTTAAACTGGGTATAAAATTGGTTCTAACTCACAATCTTTCCCAGAACAGATGGGATGGGAGGAACCTCAGACTAAATTCTAGCACACAGACTGAACTGAGCTCCTGAGGGATGAGTTCTGGGCTCTGACTTTTTTCTCTGTATTTCCTACTTAATAGCAACCTTCTCTTTTTTCCACTAACATAAATCCAATTCAGATTAGTCTGCAGCCAGTCTGCCTGCCAAGTGTGGGTTTAGGGTTTCACTTGGCAATCTCTTGCCATATTGAGTATTTTGTGATGCTATTGAGAGGCTTTAGGTGGTTTTTGACATGATTGCATTGTTATCAGTCCAATAAGGAAGAAACTCTTATATTTAAATTCTCTGTAGAAGTGAATGAATCTACCCATTCAAAGTGGTGGTAAAGTATGTGGATTTTTATCAGGTGTAAATTGGTTTCATTATTTAGATTGTTTTGTTTGCTGAGTACCCAAATTCTGCCCCAATAATTACTGGGGTTTTTTTAATGTGATATGTATATAGCATGTATATATCACCTATTTTTATTAGGTGACATACATGGAGAAAAAGAAGAGGTACTCTTAATATTATACCTAGCATATATCCATCCAGGAACAAGGAATAATAAACAGTCTCTGGAACTTGGCAGAAGTTTAATTCAAGGGCCATCATGGACTTTGCATAGTTTTGTTTACTGTGTAATAAGTAGTCAAATAACATTCAGAAACTGAAAGTGTATTTTTCTATAATACACATTTTCAAGCAGGTTTCTTGGCATGCATTTTGTTTGTACTGTGCTTGAAGTTGTTTATGGCATTAGTGGTTAGTGTGTTTGTGCATGTTTGCATTCTGTCTGTTTATGAAGTATTTCACTGGTACCCTTACACAGCATGTGGTCGGTCGAAGATTATTTTTGATAGCGTGTGCAGTCATGCATTTTGGTGAAAGCCTTTAAAGTAAGGTGGGTTAAACCCTGGTTATTTGCAGTTATGTAAAGACAGACTTATAGATAAAGACTCACAGAACTTAGGTACAAAAGATACTGCACCGTTTTAAAGATGAAAGAGTGATTTAGTGCCAATTTGTCCAACAACCATGGCAATTTGAGTTTCATAAAGATAGGCCAATTCTATTAATAACTAGAACATTTGTATATTTTTATTATCATAGATGTCAAAAATAATTAACAGATGACTCATTATATTACAATAATAACATGTGTGTAACTAATTTTTGAAATGAACTACGGAAGCAAAAACAAACCTCTAACAGGGATAATTTAAATCACTTCAGTCTCTAATTGACAGCTAAGTATAGGCAATACTTTCAGGACCCAGACACAGGGCTGTGAAATTAATCTGTGTATTACATTGGGCTTAGAGTGTTAGTTGATAGCTTTCATGGTGTTTTGAAAGTATGGGTTGTTCAGCATGTATCTAATGACATTACAGGAATATTATTGCAGAAAATGTAGATGCTGAGAAAGCACTAGACACTTAGAAGCATCAGTTCTGTAAGGATTTTGTGAATGTTACTGAATAAAGTATTATTGCTTTATTTAGATGCCTAACTGCAATTTTAAGAGCATTATTCTTCCTGTGAATCTTGAAACTTAACCAAAACAGAGCTGATCAATAATTAGTTCTTTTGAAAATTCCACTTGTAATTATGATTTCATTACTATTGTTAATAAAGTTCTTCATGGTAGGAAATTCGATTATATCAGCTCTGATTTTCTTTCTTTTGGGACAATTTACATTTTCTATCATGCTTCTTAAACCTTCCATTGGAGTGGAGAATTTTTTCATAGAGGTAACTTTTCTTCCTGCTAGAGTAATATCAGACAATTTTCTAACACTTCATTTACATTTCTCAACTGTGCATTTGTGAGAATTTAAAAATCATTTCATTAAGTTTGTCTGTCTTTGAATAAGAGAATACACTTAGTGTATATCATTGAATGTCATTTATGATGTGCACAGTTTTTTATTTACTTTACATCTACATGTACATAACATGTTATACAGCAGTATCATTTATAACACCATGCTTTGCTGCACAACTCTAGTTGCTTTTGATGTATAGTGCTGTAACATACAGTGAGACCTTTGTTTAAGAATAATTGTTTATGGGACTGTAAGTGAATTCAAAAGACAATAGGTAAAGGTGGAATTCAGACTCTCTTAGTACTCTTCCTTCTTGTAACACGCTATACCTATGTTATTCTTAAGAAGTCTAAATTCAAGCCACAGAAAATAACATTTCTATCACTCAAGACATAGAAGCCATTCATACAGAAATGAGAAGCAAAATGTGTGCAGAAATAAACTTTAAATCTTATGAGAGTAGCAGCAGGTTCATAGTGTCAGGAAGAAAAAAAATTATGAAAGGAAGCCAAGCCTGACAAACTGAATTGTGGCTCATCTGAATGTTGTTGAACTTCATTTCACTAGCAAAGCAGAGAGTTACAAAAGGGAAAATTAGAAAAAATCCTTCTTACCGCTGTAATGTACTAGTTTGAAAGGAACTGTGTCTGTACTATATAAATTCATAGATCTTGAAAACTATATAGGTAGTTTCAGTATTTTAAATTGGAAGCAGAGAAGAGGATTTTAATAAAAGCTGTATGGTCATACAACGGATGGAATTTGGTGATGACTTGTCTGGAAATATGTACAAATGCATACAAAATCAGTGTAAAAATAAAAATAATTTTTCATGTAAGAAATAGCATATTTTTGTGTATTAATATGCAACAGGTATAAATATATGTATACGTATATATACACATATGTGTGTGTGTTTTTCCATATCCTATCTCTACATAGATTCCATCTTCCAGTTCATGTTTTTGTGTAAATCAGGAGTGATTTCTATAAAGTCAATGTTTAAAATATTGAAAGAGGTGATTGTCAGGTCCATTATATATAGTAAACATATATTAACATTTAAGAGATGAGCCAAGACAATACTCAGCTACTCGTTTTGGGCTGAGTCCAAATACTGGCTCATATGCCAACTACTTACCAGCATAATATTTAGATAATATTCTTCAGCAGACATGTTTTTATGTTGTAAAGAGAGATCCATGTAACCTGGGTGTTTTTGAAAATAGAACTTAACTTTTATGTTATTTACGTGTTTTAAGCAAGTTAGCCTTTATATCTTTCAATTTGTGCTTTCATTTCAGTGAGAGTACTGCTGGAACAGCAATTTAACTTCCAGGAAAATTCAGCAAATCTTTTGAGACTTAAAGCATGTGAGAAGTCAAGCACTGTCCAAGTGAGCATGATATTCACAACCATTTTTAAACCCTGAGATAGAATTTTAGGGTTTGCAAACGATAATAAAATTATTGTCTAAAATTTTGCTTTTAATATATGTAAACATCCTAAGGGATTAAAAATGTGTTCTGCTTCATTATATGTTTTGGATTCAAACATCATTACCCTCTAAAAGTCACTTCAGTTCCAGGTGTGACAATTTGCTATATAAGAAGTCAAGCAGCTAGTTAATTATCCACATAAAAAATAAAATTCTGTCCTTAAAATGAGAGGAGAAGGGCACTTTTCATGACATTTTCAATGAACTGGAACTTCTTGCTTCAAATGATATTCCAAAAACTTGCTTTTTCTCTTGGAACTGGGTCAGAGTTTTTCTAGCCTTGATAGAATTGGCATCCTTTCTCGAAATCGAAATATGCCAGCCGTAGTACTTTTTCAGTAATACAGTTATCATGCAGAAAATCTTTGATAAGGCCACATATGCACCATTTGTGCTATAGAGATCCATGAACCTGCAAGGTTATGTGACTGTGAGTAACCCCTGCTGCCATTTGATGTTACTAAGTCTTCAAAAAGCTTGACCGTGAGATAGACTTCTTTTTCCCCCAAAGGCTCAACATTCTTTTTTTGTGCTACATTTTTCAGAAGAACTCTTTGTTTGAGGAAGCTGGGCAGGGTAAAGCTGGCAGACTGGAACACTGCCCTGATGTGTTGTGACAGACATGTAATCTGCCATTTGACCACTGGTTCACACATCAGTGTTAATGTGAATGTGACACCTCTCAGCATACTGTTAATCATGCATTACTCTTCTGTCTAAAATGTGGAGATGTGGAGTAGACTTTTATTCTTTCAGAAGACTACACAAAAAACCTTAGTGAAATGAAATTTTACAGCCATAAAAAGCAAACTGATTGACAGCTGCAAATCATAGTCACAGCAACATTGATATATACATATTTATAGATCCCTAGATTTCAAAACTAAAAAGGATCATTAGAACAGTCTGCTTAATCTAACGCACTCCCACTTCAAACATGCAAGGAGCCAAACATGTAGTTCCATGTCAAGTGTGAGGAAACCTAGAAGGTGACCTTCTGTAGTCCAGAAATGAGATCAATTCAGCTTCTTTTCCTCACTAACACTTTTACATCTTTTGGGTTTTGTTTCTTTTTCTCCTGGTGTTTCATCACCAAAGTGCCCAGGAGTTCATCTGCTTTCATTCAACTGAAATGCATGTACCAGATGGTGCAAATAGCCCAGTATATTTCAATCCTGTATCCATGTCAAAAAACAGGCAGACTGCTGTAGTTCTTGGTTGCTGCACCTCATGGTATCAAAGGCTGGCTAAGAAGAGTGACACTGCTTGACAATGAATAAGATTTTTCAGGTCTGGCAGGGAAGTTGCTTTGGAAGATAAAATCCTGCTTCTACTCTGTAGGAGTTGCTTTTCATGATTAATTAATTGTGTTTACTCTAATCTACAAAGGATGTAAAGAAATACAAAAACAGAGTTAGAGAAATGTGTCTAGATAGGATACTTTATAGCAACTTTATAGTAACCATTTCATCACCTGCATTTTACGTATATTATCTACTTGCTTATAATTGTAATAGAAATTGGCCTAAACCAGAAAGTTCTAATTGTACTTTTCAGGAGGCCCACTGAGATCTGTGTTTGCTGTGTGAACAGCCTAGATCTCCAATGTGCTTAGGTCAATGAAGTTTGAAAGTATCTTGAGGGCTAGGCAGTGCAGTGAAAGTCTCTAGCCACTTTCATCTGATAGCACCTGCTTAGAGTTTGGCCTTAAGACTTTCAAAATATCTCCATAGTAAAGCCTTAGATATGCAAAAGCCGTAGCTCTAGAAAAATGATATGAGGTTCCAAAGAGTGGACAGTTGTTTGTCTTGGAAAACAGAAACTGGAGATAGTACTTGAAAGCTGTATGTGGCATTCTTTCTGTTGGTTTTCTGACTCCTAAATGCTGTAACAGTAAGCCAGAATACAAGAAGAGTTGTGCCTTCCTATTCATTTTCTGGCATGTTACTAATCCCACAGAAAATTCACGTTACACATTTGAACAGAAATGTGGTGCTTTCTCACCCTGTTCTCTGTCACATCTGCAAGGCTGATTCTCTTTAAGACCCCAGCAAAATATTCCTCTGCATGTTTGGGCTACCTGTGAATTTTGTTCTTAATCTTGTTTATAAGTTAGGATATGAGAATTTTAAAACATGCTGGAGAATTCTGGTTTGACTCATTTTAGTAGTCTGTGGGATGATTTATAAGTGACTTGGGAAGGCATAGCACTCTTTTACCTGTTTAACCTTTAAGCTCTAAAGCTTTTCTCTGTATTTTTATGTTATTGACAATTCTTCATTGTTCTGAATCCCCAAATGTTTATATTTTTTAATCACTGAAGAGACAGATACCTTACTTGGAAAATGATCTTCCTTCCTAAACAAAGAATTCCAGGACAGAAAAGAGTACCACAGAATAGTCCATGTAGCTGAAAGAGCTGTCTTACAAGAAATTACAGTTAGTTGCATGTTCATTTTGCATTACCACATATTGTGTTGGTATGCTTGTTGACAAATCTCTATATGTGTATTTGTTTGTATATTCAGAAGCTCTAGTTTACCTACAGTCATTGTATATGTGGTTTTTCTCATGAACATTGTAGTTACAGGAGTATAATTTTAAGCAGAAGTTATACTAAAAAGAATTGTTTATTTAGCTAGATTAGGTAGGAACCATCAAACAGGCCATGGCACCTATGTGTGTATATATATATATATATATATATATATATATATAATGGAAAAGTGTAAAAAATAAGTCAGTCGAGAAAGGTTATTTAATGTGATAGATGGAAGAGCTATGAAGACTAGTGGGATGAATGTAATAAGAGAAAATTTAGCCTGTCTACCTGAAAAATTCTGGACAGCAAACTATTTACACGAAACAACTGTATATTCTCTATGGGGAAATATTAACAGTCCAATTGCTTGAGATTTTTGAGAGGCCAAAGGAGCAGCAAAATACATGTTGAGGAAAAAGCTTGAATTGGCAGGTAGGTAGATTAGCTGACCTATTAGTTCTTTTCTATTGCAAACTTCTATGATTTTATGTGGGGAAAATTCCTTTTCAACCCACGCTGGCAATCTGTTTACGTTCTGAAGTATGATGATTGACATCCCTTTTAACTTTTAACCTAGAGAATGTCTCTGCAAGTGTTATTCCTACATATAAATGTCTAATGCTTTTAATAAAAAAAAAAATGTCTCTCAATTAGGGGACTGTATCCATGTGCAAATACAGAATGGAGATCACAACAGAGTCTGAGGTGTTATCGCGGCATGGGCAGCACTCCCACTCAGGAAGATGGGGCGTTGAGAAGGAAAAGGGAGCATTTGGGGCTTTATAGACTAGAGAGTGAAGGCAAACAAGAGAACTGTGGATAAAAACAGTCAGAAAGAAGGGTATAATTTTTGTTGAGAGAGAGAATAGGAGGGAAAGAATAGAGAAAAATGGGAAAGTTGCAAGGTATAAGACTAGAGAAGCAATATAGGCAATGAGAGCTAATTTATGGAGTAGAAGAACAAGAACAAATAAGGATGTTCTGCTGCTATTATGATGCCAGAGTAGCTTGCTACCTGTAAGCATTTACCTTTGGTTCATCTACATGCAGCCTTAATTTTTTTTTTCATTTCAAACAGTGTAATATTTTGTAATCATCACTGAAGCACACTGCATGGATTTTTGTGATAAATAGTGTATTTTACAATTAAAATTAGCTTATCCATCTTTCCCATGAAAGTAAAGCTTACAAAAATATAGAGTATTTAGAAAACTATAGCACCCTAGTAGAAAGAAGTTCCATGTTCTGCCACCCTTTCCTACATTTACCCCTTATTTGGGGACTGGAGGTGGATTTATGAGAGGGAAAACATTAAAAAAGAAATATTTAAGAAATTATAAACTAGGAAAACGTCATGTATTTAAATATTACAAAAACATTCTTCACATGTTATGATATTAAACTAGAGCTCATTGTACAAAAAGAAATAAAAATTGCAGAGAATTCCAGTTAATCAAAAATATCTTTGCAATGTTACTTGTTCTGACTTAAAGAAGTTTGCTGAAGCATCAACTTCATTTCTGTCGAGGACTGTAAAAAAGATTGAAGCCGGGGCCTGGAATATGAACAAACAATGCATCTAAGTTAGTGCCCCACAGAATATTTTAAAATTATTTAACACAAATCATCTCAGTGTCAACAACTCATCACAGATAAACTATCTAATTAACAGAAGCCATCATAGTATTTGAGAACTCAGTCTTGGCTCAGTTGATATACCAGAAGGGCACTCCTTGATAAGCAAAATTTATAAAGGAAGGTTTGAAAAACATTACTGCCTGAAGTAGATTCTTCTTAGTTTTAAATTAACCCTCTGCTAGGTTGGGATTTTTAGGTGTTTGGATTTTTTTTAATCTTAATGAGATAACAAGTACAGGTTGACCTCATGTTCTAAGGTATATTCCAAGCTAAGACTCTGTTACACAGTCTATTTTATGATGCAATATTTTTTCAGTGAGTCTGCCATGCACTTGGAGCCATGCCAAAATGACAGCTCAGTTAACAAAAGTGTCCCCAGATTTTGTAAGCACTTCTGAGATAGTTTTATCCTACTTCTTGAAAATTGCAAAGGTTGTCAGATCCTGAGGATATAAAACTTTACTGCAAAACACTTTTGGGCATGAAAGCATTGGCTGGTTGTTGCAGCACCAAACCAGCCACTTATTGGAATTGCACTTATTGCAGGTGATTCACTTCCCTGAAGGAAGTCTGTGGGGAGAGAAAGATGGTAATAGAATCTATGAAAATATAACATAGACCAAAAGTCACTGAAAAAAGCTCGTGGGAAATACTGAAAAGAGAGATCTCTCCTAAGACTCTGGGGGGTGATGTTTATATGTTGCAAGGAGATTATCTAGGGCAACAATATTCATTAACCTAAAACTGCTCCTGAAAGTAGTCTTTTTCACAGAGGAAATGTGAAATAACAGATAGGAGTGAAGTACCGTCTTTTTTCCATCCTGTCCCAGGTAGGAATTATTTGCTACAGCATTTG